TGGTATTGCAAAGGATTGTCTGGAATGTCATGAGAATGGCCAAGTTTAGCTGAGCTAATTGCTAACACCATTATCCGTAAAGTACCTCGAAAACATAATGATCTCACGTGTAACAGAATATTTAAAAAGTGATCACTCCATTGAGATGAAAAAGGCGAAAAAGCTGTGGCACTCCGACCGAATTATGTATCCGGGGGATTTAAGGTTGAAGAAATCGGCGAATCGAAGCATGTAAAAGCCGTTTTTCGCTGAATCCATTCGATGACAAAAACTTCCAGATTTCGGTTCTGTTGTTACAAGTTGTTGTACTTGTAGTGGAAGGGGCGGGAGCCGTTTCACTTGAGAGATCAAACTATGCGTCAGCCCCAAAACATCCAGCCAGAAAAACCCCTTGTTAGGCAGATTTTTCGACTGGTAGAAATCTCATCTCAGCATTCTCATACCTGACAAAAAAAAGATATCATTTGTAAAATTAAACATTCGAAGTAAATGATTTTTCGACTAGTCTACTATCAAAAAAAAGAACCACGATCGTACAGCGGTTGTCAGACAAAATAAAATAATCTTAAAAAGACCAAAACTAAAAGCTTGCAACTTTTCACTTCTCAAAAAACTTAAAAGCAAAAGTGAGAAGAAGAAGAAGGAATCGAGAAGATTGGCGACTTTCCCGATTGATCGAGAAGATCCCACAACATCTCGATCAAAGATACTTTTAAAAGCATACAACTTTACTCATTCCCATTAAAACATACTTTTAATCATTTATTGATGGGCATTCTTTAAAACTCAGCATAGAACAAGAACACAACATAAAAATAAGTAAAAATGACATTGAAGTAAAATAAGCAAATAAGTAAAATCATCAAATTCCATTAGAAAAGATTAAAAATCAATCACATCGTTGAACTTGGTAAATAAAATTATTAAATATCGTGAAGCTAATAAAGCGCTCATTTCATTGAGGTGACATGTAGAAGGCGAAAAAATGGGAAAGCCTGAGCTCACGGCGAGAATAAAGTATGTAGACGCAATCTCTGATCGAGTCAATCCTTCGTCGGAAACACCAAATCTCTTTGTCAAAAAGTGCACCTTTCCACAATTTCTTGGACAATTCCAACAAAAACTCACGATTTTCTCCATCGACATTTTTCATTCCTGAGGATTCGATGAGAAAGGAAATCATTTCACCCTCGGACCAATGAAGCCAACTGTCAAAGAACGGAGGCCCACACAATTTCTTGAGCTCTTCAAAAAGTGGTAAACGATCATCTCCATGAATTTGTTGTATCCCTGGGTAATTTGTCAGAAAAGCAATCGTTTCAGCCGGAATCACGCAGCGTTCGAAACGTCCGAGGAAGCTGGCGTGTGGATTTTGGCTCGGAATTCCATGTTTGACAATCGTTTCAACATGCCATTGAATTGAATTGTCACTTTCAATTTCAATCAATTTGATTTGTGTTTTTGACAAAGAGTTGTATAAAATGGGAAACATCTTGTCGTGAAAGATCTTGAAAACTCCTTGAAAATATCCAAAAACTAGACTGACTTTCTCACACTCACTCAATTGAGTCTCGATGAAGTATCCAAGTTCCATCAATTCTATTCTCCCTAAAGTTATTTTCGCACTCTTTTTGATCGATGCGCGAAAGTTTGCGAAGAATTGCTTCCAAAACCAACTCCAGCCATCCAACTCCAATTCATTTACCGACTTCAGCTGTCTTAAAATCGCATCATGGCCGGCATTGATGTCTTCCGCAAACATATCATGGATGTTTCGTAGCTCCAATTTCTCGCACGAATGAATACGATTGATCGATTGAAGATCGCCCGAAATGTCGATAACCCAAGAGAATGAGTTTGGGAATTTCCTGATATATATGTAACGCTTGCCGAGATCCACCCTGGAAACGTGCTCTTCAAAAACGATCGATTGGTTATTTGAATAAAACGAGTAGAGTCTCTTGTTAGTCATCATCAAATTCATCACATCTTTTGGATCGAGATATCGTACGATCTCCTCGATCAATTCCAACGGGAAGTCGCCAAGCTTGACCATTCTTTCGTCTTCTCGCTTTTGAGCCAGTATCTCAACCGGTAGTTGTCTCACCGCAGGCTTGGCTTTGCTCGCTTCGGCCCTGGGCATCACACGACCAATCGGTTTATCAGAGAAATGTTTCTCCATAGCTTTGATGAAATCACGGATTTTATCTGAATACTAGAAAGGTTTACTTTGTATATAATGTTTATAATGTTTCCTGTCCTTTAGTCCGATTTGACAGGCTTAATGCAACTCTAGTAATTGATTTTGACTTGAATACTTGATTGAAAGCCAACTCTATCTTTTACCGAAGCATTCTATCGTTACAGAAGCATCCCCTTCCTCACCCACCCATAATGTCGTAACGATGTCCGATAATTTCGGTGCGGTCCTGCTTGTCCATGCCGTGGGTCGAGTCGACATGATCGTCGCTGAAAATTTGAATAGTGCGTGAACAAACAACTACTGCCGTGACTAATAGCTTAAACTTAACAGTCGTTTACTCTTGATTTAATATTTCTTGCTCAAAAGCCAATTTTTGATATGAAGTGACTCACATGCACATTTTACAAACGGTCTCATAATCGAAGCAGTCGTGATGCCATTGATCTCCACAGCAGAACACCATCTCGTTGCGGCCAACTGAAATCAAAAGCGTAAATTGGTGAAACCTTATGTTAGTCTTTTGTTCAATTTCAATTCAATAGTTAATTTTAAAAAACTCACAGAAATTTCCGCAATAAGTGCAGTTCAAGAAGGAAAAAGCTTGCTCGAAAAGAGACATTTCCAAAAAAAGTCGAAGATCAGCGAATCTAAATTGAAAAATATGTAAAAAGAAAAGCTTTTGGACGTAAAAAGTGAAGGGAAATGACTTCTCCTGAGCAATCTTTCTTTTTATATCGCTACCGATTGATACGGCTCGGGTATTATTCGAGATCTGCTGGCCACGGGGGAAGAAGAGACCATTTGTGCCAACGGCTCCATTGGCTAACGGCTAACGCCAAAAAATAAACGAGAAATTGGGAAAGAGAACAATAATTGAATGGAAAATGGGAAATTGGACAATCTTGATTTGATCAGGATTTTTGAAGATTCATTTGAGGCTGCGGCACCACGCTAGGGATAGAGCACTTGAAATTTGCTGGAATGTAGTTTTTCCAGGGTAATTGATGGCTCTGATCACGAACAAAACATTTCTAAGTCATGTTTTCAATTAGAAATTTATGTGCCCTTGCGGTGCGGAGCCAAAGCCTAGGAAATGCAGCAACGTGCAGTTTTTTCAAAACAAAGAAAGTTAATCGAGTACATGCTTTTTAATCGAAAACATAACTTGAAAATGTTTTTTCGTGGTCAACGGTAATGTGTAGAGGACGTCCACTTGATGCCACACAGATGTCGGCGAAATCACATACTAAACAAAAAGTTGTACAGAGTAGCTCAAGCTTAATTGATCATATTCAATTACCTTCAAGAATCTCTCAAAAGTACCCCCAAAATAGTTCATCCACTCGGTCACCCAACAATCGACACAATGAAAAATCGTCGACGAGAATATAAAAGTAAAACTTTTTGGTTGAAACTTTAAACGCCAACCAAGCCATCATTTCGACAACAGTGTATCCCCGCCAGATTTGTTTCTTTTGTATATTTGATCGCCAGCCAAGTTGTTGCCAAAAGATAAGATAGCGAATTATGATTCCTGAAACAAAAAGTAAAATAAGAAATACTTGTTCGCAGCTGAATGACCATTGCCCCGAGTTGGGTGTCGGCGAGCGGCCATTCTGTGAAATTTCGCCGGCGAGTTGCCAGGGTGGATGATTCGAATGATCGCATTAGTGGCCTACATGCAATCGTATTTGCATCTAAATGAGATGATTAGTTATGCGTGTCAAAAAACTCACCAAAAACATGGATGCCTGCTCCAACCGGGCTCGCTCAATCGTTGTGAGCATCGGTGTCCTCTTCGGCATCATGAAGTGCAATAGCGGTAGTGTGGCTAAACCTGGGAATAATTTTAAATAGTGCTGATACTGCTTGAAAGAGCCAATATTTTCAGTTCTGAAGTGGTTTTGCCACTTCCAAGAGCGCAAAATCAAGCTTAACTCCACTTCTCTTAACCATAAGCCTACTTCTAACAGTCACAAAGCAACGCAGATCTACCCTTACTTCTTAGTTAGGCTTAACCACTTACATGTCAATCCCCGAGTGACCCACTAGTTGAATCGATGAAGAGAAGCGCGAAGACGACAAGCAAAACGACAAGCGGTCATTGACGAGGGAAGAGAGCGGCCAGACATCAACGAACATGTGATGGTTCTAAAAATGCACATTGTGTCCGTTGATAATAGAAAGAATGCAAAAATCGAGAAGCAAAATCAGAAATTTAATAAAAACATCAAACTCAAGAGCAGCTCCAAAAATATTGTGAAAACTTTTGCGCAAAACATTCCTTTATACCTTCTTAAGCCAGTTTAATCCTATTGATTTAATTAACTGAATATTTTCACTTTTCTGTGCATTTTTCTTGTCTTTTATCTTAGCATCAGGAAACGGCCATCTTTTTGGAATTCACTTATTTTCACTAGGTCAACATTATACTCGAATATCAGCCATAAACACGAAAGTTGAGATTTTTTGAGGATTCAGTTTTTGGTCCTTTTCTCAAAAACTAGTAGATGGTTCTGGGAGTTAAAAATACCATTCGACAGCAATCTTTTTGTGCATCTTTTGAAGTATAAACCATTGCGTATGGCTGATTGGGTGTAAAGCAAATCTACAAAGTGTAAAGGGGAAAAGGGAAACGGAACGCTTACCAGCATCGATTCTCGTCGCCTCTCCTTTTACAGCTGTCTTTTGCTCCTGCATTTCTCGATTTGTATCCACGTTCCCCTATATTCTCCTCTAACAAAAAAACCCCAAAAAACCTGAAAATCCATCGTAGTTTTGCTCAGTCAAACATTCAAAGATCACAACGAAATTGACCGACAGTGTTGCATAATTTTGTGGTTGTTGTCTGAAGCGTGGATGTCGTAGTAGTTACGGGTTGATCAGTGATTTCAGCTCTTCGAATAGTCGATGTAACATTGTCTTCTGGAGTAACGGCCGTTATAGTCATTGTTGTTCCAGCTATTGTGGTCTTCCGCTTCTCTGTTGTCCCGTAGGCAACAAGAGACGGCTTCTCCGGGCTGTACTTCTGAAAAATCAATGTTCAATCAAATGGGATTTTGCTTCTGAAGCTCTGAATGCAAGTCAGCGATCCGTTTGAGGAGGACACACCTTTGAAAAAAGGAAATCGAAAAATATTAACATCATTGTTTTTAGTGCTAAATGTGATTCTGAAAACAGCTTTGACTTCATTTTTTGTAATTTCTGATTACTGTTTAAAAGCAGCCGAGAAATGGAAGCAAAATCACAAAGAGACCCAAAAAATAAAAATATGAAAAAAGGGATTAAAGAAGTGAAAAGAAAGTTTTGTAGTGGTTTCGATCGTAGTGCTGAATTGCGTTGTTTTCTCTCCAATTGTGGTTTGAGCACTTTCTGTTGATTTAGTCATTGGTAGTGTTGTTGTTGGTGTTGTTGTTGTTGTTGTTATCATTCCTATTTCTGTCGTTGTGACAATGGTGGCGTTCGGCGGTGCTGGGGTCGGTCTCACGTAGGGCACAAAGGGTTCCATGTCGGAGACGTATGCCTAGAAATTCTAAAGCTGCACTGTTGTCTTGCTCAAAACTTTCGGTGCATACTATTGGGTTGGCCGATAAGTAATGAGTCCATTTTAAACAGAAATATTTATTCAATAAAGCCATATCAATCAAAATAATTTTTATCTTTTTCGATAACCTGTGCCCATTTTACTGGTTGCTATCCTATAACTTCTAGCACTCCCAGTATCCAACAACCCCCAATAACAACCTCAACCGGTCTCTCCGGAACCTCAAAATCTAAAGATTCCAAATATTATACAAGATTTATACACTATGGAACGCGCAATAGTACTGTAAAAACGTCGTTTTGTAAAGAAATTAAAAGATCGTTCGTTTCTCCGAAGCGATAAAAATTACCCAAAAAGCGAATTGACTGGATTTCCAAGAAAAACAAATACGAAAATTTGCATTTTAATACAAAAAACTCAATTCCCAGGTCTCATCTGCATCCCATTGCGAAAGTTGCGAGTGTGGGAACTGCAAAAGTACGGCGAGGAGACGGTGAAAACCCTCGAATTGCAGCCGCTGAAGAGTTCAGCTTGATTCCTCGGCGAAATTAAAAGATTTCCAAAAGCCTTTCAATTTTTCCTTCATTCTGTTGCTCACGTAACTCGAAAGCTTTCAAAAAGGAATGGATTTTCTATAAAATTTTTCGAAAAGTCATTTCTCGTCAAATTTCTCTCATTTTCGGTGTGGCCTTAACGAATGTTTCTCGAATTTTGCAAAATTTCAATTTTTGATGCTTGTTTTCATTTTCATTTTTCGGAGCTTGTTTTTTGTAGTAAAATGTCGATTTGGAAGGTTTTGAAATAGAAAAATTCGCAAATAGAGCTTTCAAAGAGCAAAGACGTTAAGAAAAACACTACCAGAGGTTTCCTTAAAAATTTGACAACTTCGAATCCACTGAGACTTTCACAGCCATTTAGACCTTTAAAAAGTACAGAAACTATCCAACCGTTTTCTTTTCATTTCACAAAAGATTTTAAAACTTTATTTTGGATAAATGAAAAGCAGCAAAATATAGCAGATAAAAGACCAACAATCTGTCAATTTAAAAGATGGAAACAATGATAGAAAGTCACAAAAATATACAATGAATCATGAAAGAGTGATTTTAATCATTTCCATCGACTGGGACGTAGAAGGCCAAAAAGTATTTCGTTACTGGTTGTTTGTCGTACACGTAGATGCAGTCTTTGGTTGAATCAAAACGTCGACGGAACATTGAGCTTTCTTCCCTCAAGCCACCAGAATATCCAGAATTCCTCGCAAGATCGTTCGCCTGTTCGAGAAGTCGAAAACGATTCTCTCCGTCGATTCGTCGCATTCCTGGATATTGTGAGAGATCCATCGTGAAGTGCGTGTTATTTGTCTTAAGGGAAATAGCAGCCTCCGGGTTCTTGCTCGGGATTCCATTGGTGATGATCTGTTGAATCATCAAATCCATGCAATCCCCTGAATAAATACGCATAACAACGTTTTTAATTTCAGTCTTCGACAAAGCGTTGTAGAAAAAGCGAACTGAATCTTCAGTAAGACAGCAAAACCAAATCTCCTCGCAATCCTTGAGTTGAGGTCCCACCATAAAATTCTCGATCCTATCTTTGATCACTTGATCATTGAAAGCACTGGAGTCGATAATCACTGTTGCTTCTTTCTTGATCGATGCGTGGAAATTTGATAAGAACCTCTCGAGGGCTTCTTTTGAATTCTCACGCAATTCTAATTGATTCACCGACTTCAAATTGTTCAGAAGTGAAGTGATTTTCCCGTTGAATTTATGATCGATCAGAAACACCAATTCGTCGCACGATCGAACCCTCTTGACGAAAGAAAAGTGAGAAAAGAGACGATCGACATTGAGCTCCATTATATTTGACCTCGAAAACTTCGCGATCCAAATCCCATCGTCAAATCGAATCTCAGAGACGTGCTCTCCAAAGACGATCGATGGATCTCTCACGAGTATCCCTTGGAATCCTTGATTCACCTTCGCCAACTCATACACATCCCTTGGTTCCATTTGTTCCAACGCTTCCAATTTCAAATCGAAGCACAACGTCTCCATTGGGAATGACCTCAAATTCTTCATTTCGATTGACGCCATTCTTCCACCTATAAATAAAAAGATTAGACTTTGTTTTGACATAAAGAGGCGCTTTACCGATAACGGAAATGTTAGGAAATAGTGAACTTGAGATATAGCTGGAATCAGTCACAAACAAGTCAATCCATCAAGAAATCGACAACTGCTTCAAACCGTAACTTCATCATCGAACAATGTTTTATAAATTTATTCCAAGTAACAACAATAACGAGAAAAGCTAGCAAAACACAACGAAAAGGTACTAAGGCCGTTGGGGGGGCACTTGAAATTTGCTCAAACGTAGTTTTTCAAGGGTAATTGATGGCTCTGACCACGAACAATACACTTTTAAGTCATGTTTTCAATTAGAAACTTCTGTGCTGTGCGGAGCCAAAGCGGTGCGGAGCCAAAGTCTAGGAAATACAGCCAGATACAGTTTTTTCAAAAAAAAGAAAATTAATCGCGTACATGCTTTTTAATCGAAAACTTAACTTAAAAATATTTTCAACGTGGTCAACGGTAATGTGTAGAGGACGTCCACTTGATGCCACACAGATGTCGGCGAAATCACATACTAAACAAAAAGTTGTACAGTGTAGCTCAAGCTTAATTGATCATATTCCATTGCCCTGAAATCTCTCAAAAATACCCACAAAATAGTCGATCCACTCGGTCACCCAACAATCGACATAATGAAAAATCGTCGACGAGAACCTAAAGCCAAACCTTTTTGATTGAAACTTTAAACGCTAACCAACATCATTTCGACAACAGTGTATCCCCGCCAGATTTGTTTCTTTTGTATATTTGATCGCCAGCCAAGTTGTTGCCAAAAGATAAGATAACCGATGTTGGTTCCTCAAACAAAAAGTAAAATAAGAAACACTTGTTCGCACCTGAATGACGATGGCCCCGAGTTGGGTGGCGGCGAGCACCAAAATCACCAAAATACCTGAGACTTCTTAATTTATTTATTTCACCATAAACCCTTTTACTTTTTATTTCTAATAATTTGTTTTGACCTCCTTAATATCTATGATAATATTTCAGGGTGCACTGTCGGGCCGTCCATTTCAGAAAACGCGTGAAAAGCGGGGATTTTTGAGGAAGAATAGGTACCTTCTATCTTAGCATCAGGAAACGGCCATCTTTTTGGAATTCACTGATTTTCACTAGGTCAACACTATACTCGAATATCAGCCATAAACGTGAAATTTCAGATTTGGTCAATTTTTTTGATGACCGATTTCGATTCAGTTTTTAGTCCCTTTCTCAAAAACTAGTAAACCAGCAAAATCGGGAAAATCCATCGTAGTTTTGCTCAGTCAAACCTTCAAAGATCGAAAGCTTTAAAAAAAACAAATTTTACAAAATTTCTTGAAAAGTGAGGTTTTGTCAAATTTCCCTCGTTTTCGGTGTGGCCCTAGCGAATTTTTCTCGAATTTTCAAAAATTTCATTTTCGATGCTTGTTTTTTGTAGTAAAATGTCGATTTCGATGGTTTTGAAATGGAAAAATTCGCAAATTAGAGCCTTCACAGAGCAAAAAGGTTAAGAAAAAGATTACTAGAGAATTCCTTAAAAATTTGAAACGCACTGACACTTTCACAGCCCTTTAGACTTCTTAGATAATTAGACAATTAGAATATCAAATCGCTTCCTTTTCATCTTACAAAAGATTTTAAAACTTTATTTTGGATAATTGAAAGGGCAACAAAATATGGCAGAAAAAATACCAATAGTCTGTCAATTTAAAAGATGGAAAAAATGATAGAAAGCGACAAAAATATACAATGAATCATCCAAGAGTGATCATTTTAATCGACGGGGATGTAGAAGGCCAAGAAGCTTCCAATATCTTCATTGTCGTAAACGTAGATGCAGTCGTTGGTTGAATCAAAACGTCGACGGAAAATTGAGCTTCCTTCCCTGAAGTAATCAAAACCCCGAAAATCAGAATATCCAAAGTTCATCACATGATCGTTCGCCTGTTTGAGAAGTCGAAGACGATTCTCTCCATCGATTCGTCGCATTCCTGGATATTGTGACAGATCCATCGTGAAGTAAAAGCTATGATCAAGGAAAAAAGCAGCCTCAGGGTTCTTGCTCGGGATTCCATTGGTCATGATCTGTTGAATAATCAAATCCATGCAACGCGATGAAAGAGTACGCATAGCAAGGTTTTTGATTTCAGCCTTCAACAAAGCGTTGTAGAAAAAGCGAACTGAATCTTCAGATTCACAGTCAAACCAAATCTTCTCGCAATCCTTGAGTTGAGGTCCCACCATAAAATTCTCGAACCGATCTTTTATCGCTTGATCATTGGAAGCACGGCAGTAGATATTCAGTACTGCTTCTTTCTTGACCGATCCGTGGAAATTTGAGAAGAATCCCTCCAGGGCTTCTTTTGAATTCTCACGCAGTACTAATTGATTCACAGACTTCAAATTCTTCAGAAGTGTATATTTCCCGTTGAATTGACGAGCGATCAGAAACAACAATTCGTCGCACGATCGGATCCTCTTAACGAAAGAAAAGTGAGAAAAGAGACGATCGACATTGAGCTGCATTAAATTTGAATTCGAAAACTTCCTGATCCAAATCGTCTCATCGTAGAATTGAATCCAAGAGACGTGCTTTCCAAAAACGATTGAAGGATCTCTCACGAGCATCCCTTGGAATCCTTGATTCACCTTGGCCAACTCATACACATCGCTTGGTTCCATTTGTTCCAACGCTTCCAATTTCAAATCGAAGCACAACTTCTCCATTGGAAATGACCTCAAATTCTTCATTTCGATCGACGCCATTCTTCCACCTATAAATAAAAAGATTAGACTTTCTTTGGACATAAAGAGGCGCTTTACAGATAACGGAAATGTTAGGAAATAATGAAGTTGAGATATAGCTGGAATAAGTCACAAATAAGTCAATCCATCAGGAAATCGACAACTGCTTCAAACAGTAACTTCATCATCGAACAATGTTTTATAAATTTATTCCGAGTAACAACAATAACGAGAAAAGCTAGTAAAACATAGCAAAAAGCAACAACATTCTAATCGCAACAACTCCTAAACATTTATAAATCTAAACAATCAAAAAAATTATAGCATTAAGCATCAAATCGATCATTTCACTCACGTCGAATCTAGAAAGCCAAAAAGTACGGGTCGAACGTATCTTTTTCGTAAATGTAGTTTTATTTATCATGTAGATGCAATTTATTTATCATGCATGTAGATGTAGATTCTCCATCCTTATTTCATTTCTGAGTATTCCATGAGAAAGGGTTCCTTGGTTAAATGGGATTTAACCATCGGACCAATCAACCCAAGTCTAAAAACCGACTACCAAATTTTTGGTTAGACACCATGCTCAACGATCCAATGAACGACCAGCTTCAAAATTTCATACGCATTCATCTTAATAACTTTGATCCGTGTCTTTGCCAAAGACATTGTATCAAGCATAGAAGAGATACTCCGAAAGATTCTTCAGTTTGATTTTCTCACATTCTTCGTTGTTGTTGTTGTTTTTCGATGATTTCCAATTTTCAAGTTGATCGTTCAGGGATTGATCTTCGACGACTGAATCGAATTCAAAAGTCAGAGTTGTCTGAGCGAACGCGAATATTGAAAATAATTTCTCGACATCGTTCTCGGAAAGAATTTGACATTCAATTGATCCCCGTCTTCAATTGTTTCAGGAATAATTCATGCTTGACTTCGATGATTGACGAATCATGCGAAGACCAAAGCTTCAATCCGTAACGCGCAGTGATGCATTCGATCAAAGCAATCGTTTCAGCCGGAATCACGCCGCGTTCGAAACGATCGAGAAAGCTGGCGTTTGGATTTTGGCTCGGGATTCCATGTTTGACAATCCTTTCAACATGCCATTGAAACATTGAATCATCATCACTTTTAATTTTAATCAATTTGATTTGCGTTTTTGACAAAGGATTATAGCAAACGTCAAAGTGATCGTCATATGTAAAAACTAGACTGACTTTCTCACACTCACTCAATTGAGTCTCGATGAAGTCTCCAAATTGCTCTTCCATCAATGCTTCTCTCTCGAATTCCCAGAATATCGAGAAAGTTCGTTTCGCACTCTTTTTGATCGATGCGCAAAAGTTTGCGAGGAATTGCTTCAAAATCTCCTTTCCGCCATAAAACTCCAATTCATTTACCGACTTCAGCTGTCTGAAAATCGTTTCATGGCTGGCATTGATGCATTGTGAATAGTCACCGCTTCGTAGCACAAATTCCTCGCACGAATGAATACGATTGATCGATTGAAGATCGCCAGAAATGTCGACGATACCCCGAGAGAATGAGTTTGGGAATTTCCGGATAAATATGTAATGCTCGTCGAGATTCATCCTGCAAACGTGCTCTTCCAAAACGATCGATTGGTTATTTGAATAAAGCGAGTAGAGTCTCTTGTTAGTCATCATCAAATTCATCACATCTTTTGGATCGAGATGTCGTACGATCTCCTCGATCAATTCCAACGGGAAGTCGCCAAGCTTCACCATTCTTTCGCCTTCTCGCTTTTGAGCTAGTATCTCAACCGGCAGCTGTCTCACCGCAGGCTCGGCTTTGCTCGCTTCGGCCTTGGGCATCACACGACCAATCGGTTTATCAGAGAAATGTTTCTCCATCGCTTTGATGAAACCACGGATTTTATCTGAATATTAGAAACGTTTACTTTGTATATAATGTTTATAATGTTTATAATGTTTTCTGTGCTTTAGTCCGATCTGACAAGCTTAACGCAAGGCTAGTAATTGCTTTTGACTGGAACACTTGATTGAAAAGTCAACTCTATCTATTAAAGAAGCATTCTATCGTTACAGAAGCATCCCCTTCCTCACTCACCCATAATGTCGTAACGATGATCGATAATTCGGGTGCGGTGCTGCCGGTCCCTGCCGTGGGTCGAGTCGACATGATCGTCGCTAAAAATTTGAATAGTGCGTGAAGAAACCACCACTTGAACAACTACTGCCGTGACTAATAGCTTAAACTTAACAGTCGTTTACTCTTGATTTAATATTTCTTGCTCAAAAGCCAATTATTGATATGAAGTGACTCACATGCACTTTTTACAAACGTTTTCGTGATCGAAGCAGTCGTGATGCCATTGATTTCCATAGCAGAACACCATCTCGTTGCGGCCAACTGAAATCAAAAGCGTAAATTGGTGAAACCTTATGTTAGTCTTTTGTTAAATTTCAATTCTATGTTTAATTTTAAAAAACTCACAGAAATTTCCGCAATAAGTGCAGTTCAAGAAGGAGTAAGCTCGCTCGAAAAGAGACATTTCCAAAACAAAGTCGAAGATTAGCGAATCTAAATTGAAAAATAGGCAAAGAGAAAAGCTTTTGGAAGTAAAAAGTGAAGGGAAATGAATTCTCCTTTGAGCAATCTTTCTTTTTATATCGCTACCTATTGATACGGTTCGGGTATTATTCGAGATCTGCTGGCCAAGGGGGACGGAGAGACAATTTGTGACAACGGCTCTATTGGCTAACGGCTAACGTCAAAAAATAAACGAGTAATTTCGAAAGAGAACAATAATTGAATGGAAAATGGGGAATTGGACAATCTTGGGCTATTGACTGATCAGGATTTTTGAAGATTGATTTGAGGTTGAGGTTGAGGCACGGTGCTGGGGATATCGATAGATTGATAGATCAACTATCAATAAACTATCAGACAACTATCAATAAATAAAAAGCGATCAAAGTGAAAACA